ATCATAGTTATCTTTATTACATCATTAATATCTTAATTCGTATTAAGTTGATTGTCAGTGTGGCGTCATGAGGAGCAGACTGACCTCTGCACTCTGCCTCTGCATCTTATGGAGGGAGCAGGACGCCGGTTCTTCCTCCCCCGACGCTTCACGTTCCGACTCACGCTCCCGTTTTCCTGTGATGCTGCCCCTGGTGTGTAGGAGGAGTCCTGCAGGAGAGAGGGAGGAATTATCAAGTGGTCCGAGTAGAGTCTGATTCAACCTGATGAACAGTCGCCCCCTTGTGTCAGCATTCGTATGAAGAACAACATTTAGACTCGAGAACCTTCAACTTCACTCCGGTCTGTTTCCTACCTGGATGTTGAGGAACCGCAAACTCGTGGTAGAGTCGGCTGCTGGTGAGGGTCTGGCTGCCGTCTGGCACTGAGTGGAATCCTGCAAACCACATTTCAAAAGTCATCAGAGGGAAGCTTCGTGTTTGTGTGTGAGTGTGAGTGTGTGTGTGTGTGTGTGTGTGTGTGTGAGTGTGTGTGTGTGCGTGTGTGTGTGTGCGTGTGCGTGTGTGCGTGTGATGTTCTCTAACTCTTATGTGTTTGTTTTCTCTTGTCCTGTGTTGATACTTCAGAATTATTCCTCATCCTTAGTCAGTCGTCCTCAAACTCTACTACAATATTCTAAAAGTCACTTTTTACAAACAGCCTGTGGAGCAGAGTGAAGTTAGAAAACTTTGTGCTCATCCTACCTGGTTGATTGAGATTTTAAAGTCGATGTTTTTAATTGAATGACATCCAGCAACATGTGAAACAAACACAGTGAGAAGTGTGACATTAGACATCAGGTGATGCTCTACCATGCTGCTGCTGCTGCTGCTGCTGCTGCTGCTGTTGTTGTTGTTGTTGTTGTTGTTGTTGTTGGGGGAGCGGCCGTTGTCCGGCGCTGCTCGGCCCTTTCTGTTCTTTGCTGTCGAAGTTGAGTAGGACGCTGCCGTTACCCGTTGCAGCGGAGCTCCCTGACACTCCGAGCACTGGAAGAAGAAGACAAAGTGAAACCATGTCTTTCGTGGCCTGAAGACATTTTGAGAAACATCTCGACATCTTCATTTGTATAAACTCCACCTACAATGTGAGCTGTTGCTGTTGTTGGTCCCCGGCTGCTGCTCTCCAGGAGAGTAGGCCATCATTCCCCCGTTCCCGTTCCCGTTGGTGGACGGCACTGATGCCAGCAGGCCTGAGGGACACGAACAAGAATACACAGAAATGTTTTTCACACACAGGGACACACTTCAAATAAAGGTTTTAACATTTTACAATCTGCTGCTTTTAAAAAGATTTTCACACCATCGTAGTAAAAAGTAGCTTTGTGACGTTTGTTCGAGTATTTTGGTCAATATTGTATTAACAGTTATTTAACACGAATACTCATTGACGTATATTTATTGAATTTTAAAGAAAAATAAATCATTTCGGCGTCCATGTAGTGACCAGTAGTGTGTGTGTGTGTGTTTCCATCTCTTACCCAGTCCCCGGTATCGGCTGAGTTGTTGGTAGATCTGCTTCATCCTCTCGATGTTGAGTCGGCTCGCCTCCGCGTGATGCACCATGGGCTTCGGGTAGTGGACGCCGATGATGCACTTGGCGGCCGCCTGCACGGACTCCGGAGCGTTCCACGGGTCGTAGATGTACTTAGCGGGGAAACCTCGGAGGACAGGTAAGTATCGTCTGGAAGCACAGGGAGACATTAGATACGCCAGCTTGTGTCAACAGGAAGTGGAAGACTACACGTGGAGTAAATCAGGGGCGGGGCTGATGCAGGGACACAAATACATTTTCCATCAAAAACAAATAAGATGATTTTTATTTGATCAAATGTCTCAAAATAGCATTTAATTCAAAAATTCAGTAAATTTTTTGCACTGTTAATAATAATGATGCATCTCTGCAGTGAGAAGACGATGCATGCCCGTGTTATTTGTTCAGCCCACGTATGTAACATAACAACATGCTGGTTGTTCAGCACTTCATGCTAACAGCTATTATGGAAAAATAGGTGCAACAAAATCAAAGCTACAAACAACCACAACACTGCACAGTTTGACTACGCTCCGTGAGCGTGGGAGCACCAGGCTCGGACACTCGGAGGCACTGAGGTCAGTTAGCACCACGGTGCAGAGCTCAGGACGTGGAGAACAAGGGGCTGTGGTCCCAAACCACTGGTACCGTCAGAGTGTGACCCTCCGACAGAAGAAGCCACCGAAGCGCAGAGATCACAATCCAACCTGCTGAAGTTTGATTTCAGGGCTTTCTGTTTTCACAGTCGTGGATTCGCTCCGTGTGACAAAGAGAGGCAACCTACCTACTGCGCCGGGTCCCAGCTTACCGAGTCCGAGGAGGGGACACAGACAGGACGGAGGAGGGGGGGGCATGTGGAACTGTGGGAAGTGGCACAGTGCGTCGCTGACAGGCAGAGAGGGGGGTGTGGGCGGGGGTGGTGCGGCCTTGAGGACCAGCACACACACACACACACACACACACATGATGGCGCTCGCCCCCGCTGCCGAGTGGGTTGATGATGCTAGGAGACGTCTACGGTTACACGTGGTTAGAAAGCAGAGTGCATTGACCCCACCCCCCTCCCCACCCTGACCACAGCAGGTGTACAGTGGAAAAGTTCCGCCACCGAGAGTTTGTCTTTCTTCCACACCTCCGCAACAAACGTGTGTGGACCTTCAGCCGCCCTCACATCAGAGCTGAAGGAATCAGAATCAGTCACAAGGTGTGATTCTCCTCAAAGCTCAGCGTCCACAGTGTCCTCACTCTGCGTGAGTCTGGGAAATAAAGTGACGGACGTGAAAAGTCGATGACAGAAGTCTTCCACTGTACCTCACAGCTGCCCCACCCTCCCTCCAAACTCCCCCCATCTCCCTCCCCCATGATCAGACAGTGGTGGACTTGAGAAAAGAGCTCATGCCTGCTCCCCCCGTCCCTCAGACTGTGGTGCTTGTCTTTTAAGTGGTCAGCAGGCTCCAGAGCCCCCCCCCCCCTGCTGACTGTCCCCCCTCCCACAGCACCACACTCTGGGCTGGCCCACTAGTGAACGAATGCAGGAAAGGCGTTGGCGTTTCCCGACCATCGGTCAGAATCCCTTTTTGACGGAATGAGACGCTACCGAACCTGCCCAGAGGGTGCCGCTGGGGCGCGAGCACAGTGCCGTCCCTCAGGGTTGCACAGGTGAGTAAACGCTACATGGCCACCGATGTCTCAACTCAATCCCCGACCTCCAACCAAGGTGGGGGGGGCGTGAGAACGACGGAGGGGAGAGGGATAGCTGAACTTTTCCCCCAATCCCCCAAAACAGAGGAGCCACAAACACAGAGCCACATCCAGAGACAGAAGAATTCATCGAGGCCTTAAAACCATCTGGTGGTAACAGTCAAACTAGAGACACGCACACGCACACACACACACACACACACACACACACACACACACACACACAAATATTCACAAACAAAGAAAAGCCACGCAAAGAAGAACACACAGAGAACATGCTGAAATTTAACAGAAAAGAAAATGGAAGATGGGCAAAAACAAAAAGAGGAGAGGAAGTGAGGAAGGTCATTCACTTACTCTTAGTTCTGGAGGTGTCCCTCTATCCCTCCTTCTCTCTGTCCTCTATCCCTCCCCTCTATCCCTCCCCCTCTATCCCTCCTTCTCTCTGTCCTCTATCCCTCCCCCTCTATCCCTCCCCCTCTATCCCTCCTTCTCTCTGCCCTCTCCATAAAGTGCTCCAAAAGGGTGATGCCAGGAAAGGTGCCCACCTGATGAAGTCCCCGTTGGGGTCGGTGCGCCGGCCGAAGCCCACGGGACAGTAGCAGTGGAAGAACTGCTGGAAGAACGAGCTGCAGGAGAGCCACATCCAGCTGCCTGCGTTCACGCTCCAGTCTGCATCTAGAAGCAGCTCCTCAAAGACCTGCAGAGACGACACATCGTCCAGAGGTTTGTGGGAGAAGAGACCACGGAGTCTGATGTCTGTGAACATGTCAACCTTCACGTAAACCTGTGTTCTGCCGCCTCACCTTCATCCCCTCCTCCCAGCTGATCCACAGGTCGCCCCGGGTGAGGAAGCAGGCGACGGCGTGCCGGGCCAGGTGGTGGATCCAGCCCTCCTGCCTGAGCTGAGTCATGATGGCGTCTATCCAGGGGAAACCCGTCTTAGCCTCGGCCCACTTGGCGAGGGCCTCTGGATTTTTGTCCCAGGGGATGCGGACGCAGATGGGGTTTCCCTCCATCTTGTCGAAGCGAGGGTTGTTGGTCGCCGTGGTGTAGAAGAACTCACGCCACAGTAACTGACCGTACAGAGAGAGCGGAGGGGAGCTGTTCTTTTTCACCTGGAACACAGACAATGTTTTTTTAGTTTTCTTTCAAACTATAGAGAACAAATCGACACCGATGGTTTTAATAAATGAAGCGCGCTGCTCATTTGGTAAACTGACCTTGCGGTAGAGGTCCGTGAGCTTGAAGTAGAAAAGGCGACAGGAGAGGCAGCCGAAGCGCAGGTAGGGGCTGAGGCCCGTCGGGCTGGCCAGCAGCGAGTTGGCGTTCATCCTAGGGCGCTCGAAGTTCGCCACCCACGCCTGTGAGGGGAGACAAACCCGGGAGGAAGAGGAGGGAGAGACAGTAGAGTGATGAATAACAGAGCGGCAGGCGGTGATAAAATAATCATCTTAAATGAATGTTTAATTAAAAGTAAATCAATGATAACAGCTGATATAACAATGCTAAATCTAAATTTCTTTCAGCCGTGTGTGGACCAACACGGAGGAGACGCAGGTCTTACTTTTCTCTCCAGGTGGCGCTCAATCCTGGTCAGAGCCTCAGTCTCTCCTCCGGGCCACACAGCTGACGGAAGGCCCTCGATGTCAAAGCCTGAAAACATATTTAATAAATCTCAAATCTGCTTCAGTTGATCCTGCAGCTGTCACTTCTTATTAATGTTGTTTCACATTCAAACTGTTCACATTCAAAATAAAGCGCATCACAGCATCTGAAGTAGTTTGCCTTGAGGTCCAGCAGAGGGCGCTCACTATCAAGGCTGACCCATTTAGCCTCTGATGCAAGTCAGTGAAGAGAAGAAGGAGGGTTGGAGTCTCTAATGGAAGTATTTTGGGCAAAGTCACAGAGGTTGAGAGTCGACTGTTTCACCTGAGGAATCAAACTGTTCAAAGTGTCTGTGAGTGGAAACCGGACAGCTGGACGAGCGTAAGCTGCTTCAAACGTGACCGGGCTCATGTTGAGCGCAGGAGACCGCCTGTGTGGAATAAAGCTGTCCAGAGGGAAACCAGACATCTGCACTGACGCAATTAGAAACTCTGAATATCTTCTTAGTGAAAATAGCGGCACAGGTGAGAGAGGCAGATGGCTAGAGAGCGGCCGAGTGCATGAACGGACTGAGAATAGAAACCTGGTGAGAAGCTAATGAATCCAATCCAGAGGGTTTAGAGGAGAGCTACCTTCAAATAGAGATGCTGGATTTAAAGTTTCAGCAGAGTTAACAAGTGTCCCGTGTTAATTAAAGAGAGGATTTTCTTTTTGTTTGGAGTCTGACTCTGATACTATGTCAGATTTTACTCACGACATTCGGTCTAATTATAAATAAATACTCATAAATATTTCTGTCCAGTTCAGCCCTTAGTCTGTGTTTTGTTTTCTCACCGAGTTCCTCCAACGACGGGACGCCGTACTTGTCTCCGTGGTTGTCTGAGATGGGGGTGACGCAGCCGCCCATCAGCGCGTCCGACAGCGTCTCCGCAGGCATCTCAGGAGGATCCAGTCGACTGATCAGAGTCTGGAAACGCTTGTAGGTGAGCGGAGGCTGCCCGCCGTTCAGCTCGATGATCCTGGAGAGGAGCAGAGTCAGCGCTCAGTCCGGGGTTCTTCATCTTTCAGTGTAAAATCAAATTCACTGACACAACGGCTCAGGTTTGTCGGGACTTTAACTGTTTCCTCAAAAAGAGCGATTGATGTGGAAGGAAACTGAAAAGTAATGTTTAAAGTTTAAAAAGATAAACTTCTCACTGTGATCACTTTCTCTAGGAACTGAAGGAAAAATCCCAGCGATGGTCAATAAGCTGGAAAAGCACAGACGACATGAAATACAAATTCCCATTCAGTGAAACTGGCTCCGATTCCTGAGCCTTCGATAAAGAAGTTAGTTTAAACCAGAGACCGTTAAGAAAAGAACTTTCTCTGATCGATGATCATAAAATAAATAAAGACAGATAATTGTGTTTCCATAGAAACTACTGTGCATGTACAGACACAAGGTGGCGCTGTTGAGTGCAGTCAGGTATCTCTCAGCTCACACGTGTAGATATACTGTATATCTTAATATATATATATTTAGAAACAAGTAGGAAACTTTTGCTTCTAGAAAAGTGTCCTTACTTGTCCAGGTCGTACAGAGTGTGTGATATCTTCACGTTGACCTCCACGCCCGCCTCCATGGCGAGCTTCTTGATGGCAGCGTCTCTCTCCTTCCCAAAAGGCTCAGAGTCGTACTCGAAGGTCAGACGAGAGATCTTCCACTCCTGAGACCAGAGGACGACACGTTCACAATCACAAGTTTACAATGACAGTGTTTGAGCAGCCGGAGGCAGCGGCGGCAGATCGTTGGTTTGAACGAGAGCAGACTTTCACACGACGCTGACCTTAAAGAGCCGCGGGAACACATTGGCCGGTTGACCCCTGATGACAAAAAGGCGGGAGTTGAGCTTTCGAAGGTTGGCGTCCAGATCTTCCAAACACTGGAGGAGGAACCTGAGGAGACAAGAAGGAGGCAGAGATTAGCTCCATGGTGTAATTACAATTAATAATGAGTTCACCAGTCAAGATGATTTTCTCCTATAATTCATTGATAGAAGAAAATAAGAAGAAGGTTCTCTTCAGTGGACAGAGAGTCACAGCTCTGCTGAGCCAGCGATTCCTCTGAGGAGCAATGATTTCATGAACTCCTTCACAAACTAAATCATAACCATCAGGGAAACAACCCAGCACCTCCTCCTCCTCCTCCTCCTCCTCCTCGTCCCCATGGACAGAAACATTGTCCAGAAACCGTAGAACCACCGGTACCAGATTAATATTTGAACCACTTTCCTTCTTTAGATCTTCTGAACTAAACCAACAACTTGTTATTTGACTCAACTGGACGTCTGAAGGACGTTTCTCCTCGAACTGACAGTTCCATGAATCAGGTTATATGATATGATATGTGTTTGCTCTTCTACAGAAGCAGTTTGAATCCTCTGCTTTAAGAAGCTGCTGGTTTGTTACTGGTTTAGATTTTTACTTCACTCTCATGCTCTGTCCATAGTTTGAATACACGGCCCTCTTCTATGCCGTTCATAGTTCTACACCCGGTTACTCTTCATTCCAGTTCCACAACTCAATGTTGACTAACACCACGGGTTTGAGAGTCTACTTCCAGTGCATCTGCTCAACTGACGATAAAGCAAACTTTGAACAGAGCTGCTCATGGTTGAACCGTCTCAACCTTGAAATAATGGAATCATGTGATTTTGATTCGACGCTGCACAAATAGAATCAAGTTTAACTCCAATTTAGGGTTTTATCTCCGATAATGCAGAGTACTGTCTACTTGTCTACACACGTGGCTGTTACATCTGAACGAGCTATACCTAAGGACAGAGCACGTTACAAACCACAAAGTAATAAATAAGAGACCTTCCACTGGGAACTGTAGTGAAATGTGTATTTAACTATAAACGCAGAACGATTCCTTCAAAGTCGATCTACATTATAAAAACAAAGATTTGTGATGAGAACAACAGTCGTGAGGCTGTGCCAGTGAAGGCGACAGATTGAGGTCACAATGTTTTCATCGCTGTGATCAAACTACTGCAGATGTTTGAGTACAGGAAGTCGTTAATCTAATATCGATGTCTACATTCATGGCAGCGGAGGTCGGAGTCTCGCTCTGTTGTGTCTGACCCACTGATCATTAGCAGAATCAGCCGGGATCACGGAACGAGCAGCCAGACGATGTTCAGTTCTGTGGCCTCCTGTGTAACTGTGCTCGCTCAGCCCTCGGAGCGCTCGCTCACATGCAAAGCTCCGCTTGCTCTCAATCCGCACACGGTCGCACACACTTGAGGCACGTGCCTGCTGATGCAGGAGCCAGACTGAGTTATGAAACTTGTGCAGCAGCTTCAACGTCGACTTTCTTATGGTGATTTTTGTCTCAATCAAAAGGTTACGAACGTCGGAAAGAGAAAAAGACGGCTCCACGTATTTTAGAGATACATTCTTTTGTCTTCACGGGTCACGTGACTCAATCGTTGCTTTGGTTGAGCTGATGAGCTCCGGATTTTGAGATTTTCTCTTTCTGAACTAACTATTTTATTCATATTCTGTGACTTGATGCGACCGTACGTCACATAATGTGTCCAAAGACTGAATCCCTCCGTGTTTCCTTCCGCTGGAGCAGAAACCATCTGAACGGGAAAAGAAACGTCATCGTCGCCATGGAAACAGTTTCAACTTCAAACCAAATAAACGAGACGTGATTATTTTTTTTCTACTTGTCACTCACACTCACGTTGCTCCAGAGAAAAACATCAGACGTGTGCATGTAGGCAAACACAGGAAGCATGTAGCCACTCCCACTCGCACACTGAGTTGCGTGCACGTACATGGGGGTTGCACGTCTGTCAACGCTGAGAGAGACTTCATGTGCATGTGCACATTAAGGAAGTGTGGTTGTTGCTCTGTGTTTGTGTGTTGCTGGGTGGGACACTTCCTCCTAATGTTCCTGGTCGCCTGCCTGCTCCTGTGTGTGTGTGTGTGTGTGTGTGTGTGTGTGTGCGTGCGTACGTGCGTGCGCGTGCGTTGGCTGCCTCGACCCTTATATAACTGGCCTACATCTCTTTGAACACACACACTGAGCTTCGACCGCACAACAACACAATCCTAGCCCAGTAACCTCATTTCTGGCCGTGCGTGCACACACGTGCACACACACACACACACACACACACACTCATTATTTTCCTCTCTCACTCTCTCAGTGGGCGAACAATCATTGTAGAAAAAAACGTATAATAAATGATTCCTGACGTCTTTGTGTGAAGAACCCAAGAATCACTTGTGTGTCACAGATATTCACAACTGAACACAACAACCTGCCGTCGATGAAGTGAACTGTGAACTAAAGACCGGACTGTTCTGGGTGTTCATCTTTGTCTGACGTGTTCAGTGGCTTTAAATGTCTTGATGGAAGCTGTTTGCACTCAGCCTCCAGGGTCACTGACGAGCAGGAGCTACACGACATGTGAGATGTTGGACTTTGCAGCACGGATCTGTGATGTTAGCGTCACAAACTCCTCCCCCTCTACGTTAGCAGATGGGACATGAACCAAACCAACCAAGTAGACGTTCAGTAAATGTGTGTCACAGATGTTTCTGTCATTTTATTCGAACTCTTATCACAAGTACGGTTTTTGTGCTGGTGAAACTTGAGACTAAATAAACGCTCAATCTTCCGTATTTCCGCACTCTGCTTACGGTTCGACTCATTTCTCTTCAGGCGAGTCGAACGTTTCTCCGAGTCAAAGAAGAGCGTCGGTCGACTCCCAGGTTTAAAAAGTGTTCGCAGATTTACCAGCTTCAGTGATCGTCTCCTGGTTTCACTGCAACAACAGGACAACATTTCTCTTCAGCTCTCAAACATCTTATTATATCAAACTTCAATCAAAGCCAGAAATCTTCATTCAGTTAAATATCTCTAGTGTTTCACCTCCGGGGTTTTCCGCGGTGCTCAGGCCACGAGGAAGAGCCTCCTCACAAGTAGGTCAGGATCACATAACTGCTCAGAAGTTTCACTGGCACACTAACCTACATCTCCTTCTCACATTTTCCACCAGATGAAAAAACAAAACAATCGATGATCCAGAGCCGCAGCTCTTCAACTCATCTCCTCGTCCGTCGTCCGTCTCCTGCCTGCTCACTGTGCCACATCCACTGAGAGCACTAATAAAGAGTTCAACAGGTTGTGCAAATGGAAAATGATATGATCTCCATTCTCTTATTTCAAACTTCACAGCAGAGAGAAGTTGGAAAAATCAGCTTCATCCAGAATGAAACGTTCTCACCACGTTAAACTAGAAGGTCCGACTGTCACAGGATTAAGAGAAAGAACTACATCTAGTTTACGTCTATTTGTTTTCTTCAGTCAGAGGATTTTAGAAAAGGATCGTCAATAAAGATGAGATCTTGTTTTCCTGTAACCAAACCTTCAACTGTCAGCATGTGGTTGTTTTAATCATCCTTCACATGAGATGTTCTAAAACAGGAAATGGTTCTAGAATGTGTCGGAACACGTCTCGTGGCGTCAAATGTAATGTGTGATAAACGGTGTTTCATTCATCAGGGAGGGAAACTTGGGATTTCTGAAATGTTTTATGTGCGATGCAGCAGTGAAACGCAAGATTGAATTAAATGGATCATTTAAAGGAACAACTTTAAAAAAAGAAAAGCCTGTTGCTTTCAAATCGTTGGTCTAATCTTCAGGAGGAAACTGGAGCTAAATAAATAAATCCAGGCTGATTATGTTTCCTGTGGTGCAGATTCACGAGGGCTGCAGTAACACCGGAGGATTATTTACAGCGACACTATAATATCTGAGGGATAAAGATGTGTGTCAGAGATACAGCGGATTTAGAGTTGACCCGCTCGTCTGGACGTACCGACCGAGAGCAAATGTGGCGGCTCGCTGACCGGCGGCTCGCTGACCGGCGTCTCTGTGACAATAAGAACTGAACTTTATAAGCCTTCCATTGATACGATTACAATTGTCCCTGGATCAGTTTAATCCCAGAACCACAGACCTGCGAGACATTTTCAGTCCAAGTTTCAGGTAAAAATAACGGAGCTAATGGGATGAGTGCACCAGATACAGATCTGCAGGTGTTAGCGTGGTGGCTATTAACGCTGCAGACATCTGCTGACCTGCTGCGTCGTGTGTCCAGACACGGGACTGACTCCCAAACTGTCCAAATCATCTTTCAAAGCAATGTTCTCACATGAACATGAAAATAAAACCTCTTAGTTCTTGTGTTTGAAGCTTTTCAGCCTCTGCAGAAAACCACAGGTTGTCTGGGTCACGGGTTTGACAGAGGCGTGTTTGATTTACGTTGATGCCTCGGCCCTGACGAGTGGGACACATCGTGAAATCTACTGCGCGCTGCGGGACGGCCGTGGCTCAGGAGCTCATCCAGTAATCTAAGGGTCAGTGGTTCGATTCCCGGCTCGTGCAAGACACTGAACCGCATAATGTCTAACCTCCCAACAGGGGGGGCGCACGATGTTGTTTATTTGACCTTTAATCAATTATATATATTGACGTGTCCAAACATCCTGCTCCTCCTTCCTGTCGCCTCGGGCAGAAAACTGCCATGAAGAAGAAACGACAAAGACAAAGTGCGTCTGCTTCACCAGTGACCTACAAATTAGCTTTTTCAAACAGATATGTGTGTTTCCTTCCTGCAGAGCGTCTCCGCCAGCAACACCTCTGTTCCGTACATTTATAGTCTCCCAGTCAGCTGGAGGTCTCTGAGTCACCGGCTTCACTGTCCACTGAGCTTGTGTGAAGACGACAAACGGCTCTAAAGAGCAAAATAAAGAACGGCCCAGTGGAGCGATACAACGCTTCACAAACTCACTCACATGTACTCACTCACATGTACTCACATGAAACACACTTAATCCCAGAATATATATATATATATATATAACTGCCCCCGCTCAGAAACTCCAGCTGTGACCGACTCCTCCAATCACTGAGCTCTACCTGCGTCTGATCTTTATCATTTATATGAGCGCACTGAAACAAGAGGGCTTCCTGTGGCGGAGCCAGCAGGTCCAGACTGTCTCATTTATTCCACCTGATAAAAACACGCATTTCATTTGTCGTCTGTGACGCTGACCCGGGACTGAACAGGACATCGGAGCAGAGAGGAGCCTCCCTCAGACACCAGAACAGACGCAGCTTCACGAGCAGAGAAATGCTGACATCATGTTGTGTGTTGAAGAACTGCAGCTCTGAGCTTCTGTTTCTGCTGCTGCTGTTGTTTCTGAGGCAAAGCTTCTTCTGAAATCAAAAGCTTTTAAATCACAAACCCTCATTTAGGATTTTTTGTAGTTTTTTTTCATTTGAATAATTTAAAATAAAAATTTGAGAAAAATGAAAAAGTAAAGTTTTCCTGTTTCAAATCGTCTTGATGATCCGTCACATGTTGTGGGGTCACGACCCTCAGTTTGGGAACCATGATGTATTTTATCTATATTTTCTTTTGTTTATTACCACGACCTAAATCTGTTTACAGCCACAGTCAGGTCGTCTTACCTCCACCTGTTGACCCCGACGTTGGACGATCCTGCGAACCACGGGTCCAGGAAGTAAACGCAGCGCACCGTGTCCGCCCCCCGGACCGCCTCCTGCAGCGCGGGGTTGTCATGGAGACGAAGGCCCTTGCGGAACCAGTGGATGGAGTTTCGGGTCATTTTATTCTGAAAGAGGAAGGTGACGGAGAGGATGAGCGACTGAAAGGTGGTGAAACTCTGTGAGTGGAACTGCATCACTAACACTTCACATGCTCCCACATCTTTTTACTCCATCTTCAGCAGCACAGACGGGGGGGGGGGGGGGGGGAGGGGCTGTACAGCGGGAGAGGGACACTTCTTAAAATAGTTTTCACACATTATATTTGGTGAAAGCTTCCTGTCTATGGAAAGAACGAGCAACCAATCAGAAGCCGTGGATCCTGATTCAGAGCCGCAGCAGGACTCTGATCGAAACCGGTCTGAAGGATCTGACGCTGATTCCTCTGGTTTCTACACTTTGACTTTTTCTCTGACGAACCAAAGACATTCGTCATAAAACTCAAATAACTTCTGCTCTTCAGTTATTTGGCAACAATGACTAGAAGCTGACTCAGAATCAAACCCAGCATATCGAACAACTTCAGATCTTTTTGTCTCTTCGGTAGAATTTAAAATACAGATTTTTTCATTCACTGACAATTTATTCAGAATGAATGAACTTCTCAACAGAAGTTAATCATGAAAGCGTCATTAACAGTCAATCACTCCGTTACGCTGCACAATCCTGAGCCAACACCTTGAGCATCACCTGACTCCAGGTCACAGCTGGAGTCCACAACTCTAACAAAGAGTCTGTCCTATCTCTGAGACGAGATCAGACGTCCACAGAGGAACCGATGGATCACTGCAGCACCTGAAGGTGACGTGATCCATCCATTTGTTTTCCACAGAGAAACCGTCACAGTGGACCTGGACCCTCCATCACTGACATATCTGAGGAGGAGGAGGAGGAGGAGGAGGAGGAGGAGGAGTGGGTGAAGATGGAGGGTCTCAGATAAACGTCACACTGCTATCAGGACAATGTCAGTTACAATTAATAGGTCTGTGGAACATGATGAAGATGAGGAACATGTGAACATGAGGAACATGTAAACATGAAGAACATGTAAACATGTAAACATGTGAAC